TTTCGCTAATCAGGCAGACAACCAGTCACCAGATATTTATTGAGCTCCTGCCGTCCTTCTGGGCTGTGTGGGAGATAGAGGGAAGAGAGAAGTTTGTCTCTTTTCTTTCACAATTTTTAAAATTGTTTATTTCGTAAAATTACAGAATCTTAGTACTGGAAATAATCTCAGACCACTTAAGTTTCTGCCAGATTTCAGATGAAGAAGCTGATGCTTGTAGACCTTCTGATTTATAGCTATCTAATAGCAGACCTAGGACAACAAAATCCTTAATAATTTGTTCTTTTTCTTATTGCAAAAGATTACCCATAAACACAACACACAAAAATAACTTCTTTTACCATCTATTAAAGCCAAACTACCTAGCATGTATGTAGTCTCTTTGTTGCATATGTTTATGTTGTCATACTATATTTACTATTTTATAACTTGCTTCTTTTTTCGTTTAATGTTTTATGAACTTTTTTTTTCTTAGACAGGGTCTCGCTCTGTTGCCTGTGCTAGAGTGCAGTTGTGTCATCATAGTTTACTGCAACCTTGAGCTCCTGAGCTCAAGTGATCCTCCTGCCTCAGCCTCCCGAGTGGCTGGAACTACAGGCGTGTGCTATCATGCCTAGCTAATTTTTGTATTTTTTGTAGACACAGGGTCTCACTACATTGCTCACGTTGGTCTTAAACTCCTGGCCTCAAGCAATCCTCTCTTCTCCACCTTCCAAAGTGCTAGGATTATAGGTGTGAGCCAGTGCACTTGGCCTGAACTTTTTGTGTCGTAGTATAACGTGTACTATTAATTTAAATGGCTGCTGTATCATTTGTAGCAGCATCTTCACAGTTATTGCTAACAATTACTGAGTGCTTACTGTGTGCTAAACACGATGCTTAGCACCTCAAAAGAATTGTCTTTTAAATACCGTCACAACCTAATGAGGCATAGGTCTTACATAACACAAATTGAGTATTCCTAATCTGAAATGTTTCAAAATCCAAAACTTCTTGAGCGCCAGCATGACACTCAAAGGAAATGTTCATTGGAGCATTTTGGATTTCAGATTTTCAGATTTGTGATGCTTAACTGGCAAGTATAATGCAAATATTCCAAAGTCTAAAAACACTTCTGGCCCCAAGCATTTCAGATAAGGGGTACTCAACCTGTATTTATTTTACACTCGAGGAAACTGAGCTTCAGGAGTCTTCAGGGTTTTTAGTTTTAAATGTCCCAGTCATGCATATCATGTGTTTTGCCATTTGGTGAATTATTTTTTGCCAGAATTCTTGTTCATGAATACAAGAAAAGATGGAAATGAAACACACGTGTTTTGGGCAGTGGTGATACAATATTTGTGCTGTGATGGCATGGTAGTCCTTGAGAACTTGTTTGCTGTCAGACTGTGGCAGCATAGCATGGTGGACAGGAGCACGAACTTGGTTGCCAGGTTGTCTGGATTCCAGATCTGGTACTACTACCTCCTATATATGCAACCTTTATGTCTCATTTTCTTTATCTGTAAGATAATCTGCCTTACAATGTGGGGATTATACATTCAATAAGCAGTAACTATCATTGTTATTATTATAAACTAAAGATTTCTTCCCAATACTTATTACTTTTTTTCTTGCCTTAAATCTTAAAGCAAGATTAAATAATTCTGTTGTTTCCATATCCTTATTAATTGGTATCCCCTTTTTCCAGACCCTGAATCTTAGGTTAAATGATCGTCTCAAGTCATATAACTACTATGTCTACACCTGTCCTGCGTGGACTACACATTTTCTTGTACCTCTTCCTAGTCCTTTTTCTTTCTCTCTCTATGTTCTGCTACCATAGTTTTCCCTTGTTGTTGTTAAGTCTTTCTTTCCTCTATCCATCCCTCCTTTCCTCTCTCCCTTTCTTTTTTCTTCCACCTTCTTCACACCGTTTGTCTTCTCATTCCTGTTTTTCCTTTCCTCCCTCTGTTCTTTCCTTATTTCTCCTTCATTCTTTCCGCTGAATCAGGTTGAGTGACTCAGTGGGCGTGCACTGTTTTAGGTGATGAAGACCTGGTCCCATCTCTAGGAGGAGTGCACAAATCACAGGCAGCCCAGCCTGGTGTGGTAGGGCTGGGATGGGGACTGCTGTGGGTGCACACAGGAGGGGTATTGAGAAGACCTGAGGTTGGGAAGGTTTCTAGAACAAGTAACATTTGTGCTATGACCTCAAGGCTGAGTCAGGGGGACCAGTATTTCAAACTAGCATGTGATTCATAATAATATATTTGTCCCTCAGTGTTAAGGAGTGTTTTAGAATTAACTAGGTTGGTCAGATTTATTTTAAAAGCTTTCTGAGGAAATGTGAACTGGTACTTTCTTTCTCACTGCAACAAGCAAAGACTCTCTGCATCATACAGTTAATTTTGGAACTGCAGTCAAAGTTGGACTCATCTTTTTAACAGTTAGTCACCAATAATATTTGCAGTTTTCTGGTTATCTATTGTTGCGTAACCACCTAGAAGC